AATTATTTTCAGTCCACAAATATCTGACGAATCAATATCAAATCGAAAGATGTTGGCTGCAGCACTCATATATTTTCTGCCCTAGAAATGTCTAGGAAATTCGCCAATTCAACCCCTACCGACGTAAAAAATTCTTGCCAACCCATATGGCACTTCCACTCGTCTGGCGGCGATCAAACGACACCATCAGGTGCCACCAAATGCATATGCATGGGAAATTATTCAGCAAACTGTGTAGTGTGTTACCATCTCCCTTCCTCAATTCCCGCGTACATTCACTAACCTACCAGCTTGGCAATGTAAAGTGCAATTGATCGTACACGTACGTACACTTGGTGCCAATGGCCCCAAAGCAGCAGTTTGGGTTGGCTGATCTCGTGAACTCACGCTCGAGATTTATTACCTCCACTTCTCCTGTCCACTGACTCATCCGCGAGGAATTCCGGGTGGGGAGATATTAAGAGTTCAAATGTTGAAACAATGTGCAATTTGTATTCGATTGAAAAGCGGTGTTAATTCACAGAGAAAGAGGAGAACTCAGCCATACCGATATCTTCCGAGCGATAAATTCTGGAAATGAGGGAAATTTGGACTCATTCAAAGAAAATATCCTCTAGAAATCGGAGAAAAGTTTTTTATTCTTAGTCATTTTTACTTTAATCTAGTGTAATTGTACTCAAATCCTCTTTTCTCTGTTATTTTCATGAAATCTTAGTTCTGCTATTCAGACCTTTTAGATTCTCAAAATAAGGAGCTTGGGAGGTCTTGATTCAAGGACAACTGGGTTCTGTTTCAACATTAATTTTCTCATGTTTATAAATTCTTCGTTGTTTAAATTAGATCATCTGACACTTTGCTTCAATTAACGTTGAACTAATGTTCCATTATTCCAGGATTTCATCCACTTCAGTAAATAAAATTCTACATTCTTAATTTAAGAATCCATCACTGAGAGAAAAAACAGATTTCTAGGTGCAAGTCCCCAGCTGGAGTCCAATTCTCCCCAGTGGTATGCCCTTATTTATTATATGGCCGAAATTATCTGATTAATTTATTAGATAGTCCAAACTATCGTAAGAGGTGACCGCGGCAAAATTTGAATTTGTAATTCATCAAGATAGTATGTATTTGGATTTTGTCCATATTATAACAAATTAGGGCATACCACTGGGGAGAAAAAATATAAATACATATAAAAAATCAATATATTTTCAAAATCCGTCTTTTGTTTTTTTTTGTGTATATTTCAACTGTGTGTCACCCAAATTCCAGCTCAATCGGTCGAAAATTGAGGCACTAGGACGTTTTTCTAGATTTCAACCTGTTCTGACACGTATGAAAAAATGCTATAGGATTTTCTATAGGAAATCCTATGGAGAATTCGAACATTCCCCATAGGATTTCCTATAGGATTCCCTATAGAATTTCCTATCCGATTTATGACTCTAATCCTGACCCTTGTGACCGATTGCTTTCGAGTCTCAATTTTGTGTGTTACTTTCTACAGAAAATCCTATAGTGAATTCTGTAGGAAATCCTATAGGAAATCCCACCAGAAAAATCCTATAGGAAATCTTATAGGATTTTTTCATACGTGGACCCTTTAAAACCTTCCGCAAATCTCGAAGTTCGAATTTTTCCCACTTTTTTTCACCTACAACACATTTTATAAACTTTATCAACAATCTTTATAACAATCCTCTCTATAATACCCAGAGACTTTCAAATTTCACCGTGGTCTCCCCTAAATAGATTCAGTGGATGTAGTGACAATTTCTGGAATGTTCACATAGGAACAGCACGTCTTGGTGGAGTCGGTCAGTCCGTGGTTGTTTGATCTCTGAGAGAGTTCAATATCATTTAAATGTGTCACACTAAATTATGCCAATGTATCTACAGATCCGTGTCGTATTAACGATTATTACAGGAAAAAATAAAGTTATGCCGCAACCGTCGCATTTTCCGTCACTGGGTTAATCGACCGTGTACTGCTGCGTTTGCCTGGGTTTCGAAATGAACCATGGCGTCAGATGAATTGCATTATAAAACGTATATTCCACGTTACAGAAGATTAATTGATTATTTACACTCGGTGAAGTTACATGAATACGTTTTTTGTTAATGGTCTGATGCATAATTCAATGTCTGCAACATCAGACACTACATTAGCTTACTTTGTTATTACACTATCAACTCAACCATCATTTCGGACATGACGATTTAATGGACCTCCTTTTTCGCGAAAAGAAGTATCGGTGCACCGAAAAAAACGAACTGGGAGGATACAGAAGGAAGGTCGTTGGGTCCCATCATCTTATCTCAGAAAACAAAAGTCGACGCTGTGAAATTGCAATGTGCCTACTGACCAGATTCAAACAAATAGTATTTTTCCGGCCTGTTGCGATGGGGTTTTTTACTCGTGTGGCGTTGGCCTCCGAGCCGTAGGCGAGGACTGGCCAACCACACGAGTAAAAAAACCCCATCGCAACAGCCCAGGAACAATATTTTTCTGTAGTGATTTTCAAGTTTTCGAGTTTGGGAAGTATGTAATACCAATTCCCAGACGAGAAATCGTGAGAAGCAGTAGAGAAAAAGACTTTTTACATAAAATTGTGACGGGGGATGAAAAGTGGATATTTTACGACAATTCTGAAAGGCGAAAGTTATAGGTTTATCTGGGAAAGCCGTCAACAAGCACTGCAAAACCGAACATTCACGGGAAAAAATTGTTGTTGTGTATTTGCTGGGGCTCCAAAGGTGCAATCTATTATGAGATACTCGAACAGGGGGAAACCATCACTGCTAAGCGTTATCAGGACCAACTGGTGAAATTGAGTGATGCTATTGCGGAAAAGAGACCCTTTACTGGTAGTGGTACGAGGCAAGTGATATCGCTGCAGGACAACGTGCGGCCACACACAGCAAAAGAAACCCTGAAAGTTATCTCCACGTTCGGCTGGCGTATTCTCCAGACCTTGCGCCTTCTGACTATCACCTTTTTCGGGCGCTACAACATCACCTGGTGGATAGCCAGTTTCGATCTCCTGAAGAAGTTCAGCAGAGCATTGATGATTTCATCCAGTCAAAATCACCATCTTTCTTCCGATCTGGAATTCGACAATTGCCCAATAGATGGGAGAAATGAGTGCAAAGTGACGACGATTATTTTCAAGATTAGATCTGTATTCATTTTTTTTATAAATAAATGCAAAACTGTCGAAAAAAGGCAGAGAATTAATTTATAGTTTGGGATTAGTAGTACCACGGTTTGATCTGCGTTGTGTTGTATTTTTCAAAAATCGCAAACCACTTGACTTGGTTCGAGAAGTCGTTTTCTTGTTGTTGACAAATTACCTCTCAACTTTCAAACAAGTACAAAATCTCTTGACGAAAGATTTCCTGTCTGAGTGTGAAATATTTTTTTTCTTGTCAATTTGCAAGCCATGGGTTTCTTGACACAAGTAAAGGCGTACTTCTCGAAACACATTTTTTTCCAGTGTGTTATTAACTTGTGTAGCACAGTAGAAAGGTCATTATATTACTTGAGAGTCACGTCGTGGTAAGCAACCGCACATGAAAATAGAGACAGAGTTATGCTGAAAAGCATGTTTAGTACCATCTGCATATATGTACGTATCCTATGAGGTGGAATGAAGTTGACTCTATCGACACTGATATACATAAAGCATTAGTCACGAGTCACACGGTGTTGGGAAGGTCTCGAGGGTCGTACCTGTATCCCTAATTACATCTGAAAAAATACTGCCACATTCAACGGTACTCATTCAGATCGCTGGGTGGAGAAAAAAAAAAGAAGGTGAGAACATCAAATGGCTATTGTTGAATTCAACAAGAAAGAAGAGAGAAAGAGGGATAGGTGAAGGTATGATACGGGTCGAGTTATGGGACTCGACCAAGCCCATTGAACTCCAGTTGTATGTCCCATGCATGCTGTATTTACGATACACAGCAGTACAATGGTGACAGACTCCACTGAAGTTGCTCGTTTTCTGTGTTATGTTCACGGATAATCCGTGAATTCATGGCAGTTTTGAAGATGCTGGAATATATGAAAGGTTGGATAATGTAGTTCTTGTGAATTTGAGACGGAATCTCGGACATCCACGGCGACATTTGCATATGGAGGTAAAAATAAATAACTGGGATGAAGAATGAGGCGAATTCTCAGAATGATTCAACGCGGAGTTATAAGACATTTCTTGCTAAGATGTCTGGTTGTTTTTTGGATGGTTTAAGATGACTTTGCGGCGTCTGCAATAGTGGATGAAGATTCTTCATCGATCCTCGAGGGGCTGGTCGGTGATATGTGAGGGATTTTGTGTCTTGGATCTCTCTATATCATAAAAATCCAAATCGACTTCTGGTGATGGAACTTTGGTACTCGAAATTAAGACTCCAATTAAGGGTCAAAATAAGGGTCATGAGGGTCAGAATAAGGGTCACGAGGGTCACAGTAAGGATCCTAAGGGTCATAATGAAAATGCCTTGCTGTCTGATTTCTGACGATAGTTTCAATTTATTAATGAAATCATTAAAAAAAATGAGGATAAAAAAAATCGTCGGTTGAATAATAATCACTCATAAATATGACGAAATCCGATCAGCAAAATTTCCATTCACTCTTGAATATTAAAAATTTTTTTTTTTCGAACGATGCAGTAGAGTGTCAACAGCTTTGATGTTTACCCCCACTCTATACCCTAAAATTATACTCAGGAAGCACCTTAATGATATTTTTCGAACAATAGTTCATACATGAGTAAATCAACTTTCCTTTAATGTCAGTTCCATCAATGAATAAAGGAATTTCGATCAATATTTGGACGATTCGATACGATTGTAATGGGAAAATTGTGTACAACGAACTCTTTATTGAATTTCGACAGTGTAAAATACGAGTTTAATTATTTTTTGGAAAACAATAGACGCAATATCGTGAAACAATGCGATACTAACAATGTTTTCTTTTGTGTTTCCAGGGCTTCCAGTGGCCGCGGATCCGATTCACCCCTCAGTTCCGAGCTCGCCCTAGACAAACCACGTCCAATTCCATCGCCCCGGTGAGTCAGACAATCCTAGAATTTCCATTTTTGCTTCTGAATTGAAACTTTGTAATCGTTCATTTTGACGATCTTCCAATTTTGCCTGGAAATGGGGTAGAATATCATGAAATTTGAAGATATAATGTTTTTAGAAAATGTGTACATATATGTACGAATACGTGTGCGAATTTTCTGGAACATTTTTATAAATCTTCACAGAAAAGGGATTAAAGTTGAAGCTAAAAATCTGAAACTTCGTCCCATAATTGGTATTGCTTTGAAGCACTTCTGAGCGCCATTTCAGCTCAATTGATCAAGTAGTTTCTGAGATACAGCAATTTTTCAAAAATCTTTTTTCCTCAATATCTCGAAAACTACGAGACTGAATTGAATTTTGTTGACGTCAAAATATTCTTCGCCATAATATTTTTCAAATCAAATCACAATATTGCTATGTAACTAGGGAGAATTTGGTAATAATCGTCGTTTCTCGTTTTTATGAGAAAATCGTTCTGTGCACAATAACTCCCGAAAAAATTTAGATAGGGTGTTGAAATTTGATGAAATTGTAGCTCTTATGTTATTACACGATGGGATTGTGGGTAAGCGAAATCGGACAAGTGGTTTATAGAGCTGCGGGACACCCCCCGTGTTCAACCATGTACCGACCAATCGCGTACTAGTGCGTAATTTTTTCATTAATCCATTGAATATGATCAAGATGTATAGAAAATGCTTTTTTTAATCAATTTAAAGGGCAGGGATCCTCTGCTATAAGACTCTATGGAGTGAATTCCGCCAAGTTCTCATTGACATTCAGTGATAATGACTCGATATATTTAAGAGAGATATGATATTTGAAATTTCCGCAAGAAAAAATGTCACACAATACATGAATAAAAATATTCAAAGACATCGGATATCGAGAGATCGAGTTCGATCTATTTTTAGTAGTATCCGCGCCTTTTGGAACCATTGCGCCATCTATAATTGACCCAAAATTACATGTTTGCTATCTCTGAATATTACGGACTTGAGTAAGAAAAAAATAGACGCTAGTACGCGATTAATCGGTCGGTCGATTTCCGAACATTTTTCTGGGGGTGTCCCGTAGCTCTATTAGAAGATATTCAACTTTTTGTGAAAAACTGTTTTGTTCAATATCTCCCAATCTGCTGGACCACTTAATTGTATTTTTCTTTCAAAATACTCGTCTTGTTGCCCCTATCAAGATCAATCAAAATATAAGTACCTGTTCACACAAAGTTTTCAAGATATTCACGTTTTTCTGATTTTTTCAATTGAGAGTTAATGTTGCGTTTAATAATATACGCGTAAAACTTGGAATAAACATCTGAGATTCTGGCTACTAATCAGTATTATTGACTCATACTTGTCTATAAAATTTTGTGTCGATCGATTCAATACATCCCAGTATTGAGCGCTTCATTCAGAAATCTTTTTTTCTAAAAAGTCATAAAACAGTTATTTTATTGATTATTTTCGCCCGGGCCGGCTTACTCTCGATTTGTTTCAATTTACCGTTAGAGTCGGAATTTTTTCGCTGTATTACCCTCCACCTTTTTTCTTACCGACAGACAAATTCATCCCCTGTACGGCGAAAAAGCTGGGCTTTTGGGGTATTACGACGCTGTCGGTAATACGGAGAATTTTCCACCCGCTCCGAATATTGTTGTTGAGGGTGGAAGAATCGAGTTTGTACGGCCATCGCACGATGGCACCACGACACGAAGAAATACAGTATCACGTGGATCGCAGACGTTCATTGAACAACAGGAGAAGTCTGATCCGGCCAAGGTGAGTGTTGACACTAATTACAATTCCATTAGTCAACCCCTTTCCTTTCCTCATCAAATCACCCATCACTCGAATCAAACAAAAACTCCTGGGGTTTCCACCCTTCATCGTCTCATTCTGTATTCATGGAGGAGGTAATTGATTTTACCAACCGTTAACACCGTTTTTTCAAATCACTCGTGATTATTCCGCGGCGAAATTCCCAGAGGAAAAAAGTTTCTGGTTTCTAGAATCGAGTTACTGATTTTCAGAAATTCATGGTCGTAGAAGGCCTGTTGAGAATAAGACACTGCTTAGTTAATTTCCTCTTATAAAAAAAGCAATGTAATGTTTTTTGTCAGCAATCTAATCCGCCATGCTTGACTTAGGATTATTTCCCTCCTAAACTTGAATATCTTACAACAAGAAATTATTTTTGAGAATATATTATAACATATATTTTATAATTTTTTTATATGACAAAAAAAGTTAATTAATGAGTATGAGGAAGTCTTATATATTTATTTTTAGGAAAAAAAATTTGTTTTTCATTCAATTTATTTTCACTTTCGATGACTAATTTAAAAGGCAATATTTTTCCGTTTTCATTCCGTGGAATATCATGACCTTAAAATAAAAAATAATGACAAAGAAAATCAAACAAGATCGAATGAAGTGGAATTCACTCCTAAATCGATTCATGATACAACCCTTTGAACTATATTTCTAACAATTAATCACTGTTAACAGCAATATGAACAATGAATGAATATTGGCCATCACGTCTGTGTGATATCCCTAGTCGGAAGACACACCTAAAATTAAGTTCTTCAATTCAGAACCTTTGCGTTATTGAATTAAGATAATTGAAAATGGATAAAATTTTGAAATTATTGTACATTAATTCAACAGTAATTGAGTCTAGGTATCAAGCGATATAATTTGGATAACAAAGAATTCATAAACATGCATAAATTAATTGTAGAACAAGAAAAATCATCAATTCAAGAATGAGACACGTATGAAAAAATTCAACAGAAAATCTAGTGAATTCGCTGGAAAATTCTATTGGAATTCTATCGAAATTTTATGGGATTTCTATTGGAATTCTATTGAGAAATTCTATTTGTTTTTTGCGCTGATTCTATTGTATATTCGATAAGAAAAAGTCAATAGATTTTGAATTTCTGTTTAAATTTTTCTCTCGAGATTTTTTTTATAAGAATGTTTGGGCATCAACTTTCTAAGTTTTTTCCGCTCGGATTCTACAATGCAAAACAAAACGAAATCCAGTGGAAAATTTTGTGCCCAATAATTCTAATAGAAAAAAATTAAGAGAAAAATTCAAACAGAAATTCGATATCTATTCACTTTTTCGTATTGAATATCCAATAGAATCAGCGCAAAAAACAAATAGAATTTTTCAATATAATTCCAATAGAAATCCTATGGAAATCGAATGCAAATTTTTTCATGCGTGAATTGTTTTCAATTTAAGAACCCTGTTTTCTTGTTTCAAGAATTCAAAAGTTCTGAATTCCAGATTCAAGATTTCATTGAAATGAGAGCAAAGGTGTTTCAATTTGAATTAAAGTAAAGACAACATTAATAAGAATTGGAAATTCTTTCTCTAATTTGAAGGAAAATTTCTCAGAATTTTTTGCTCTTCAGATTTCAGAACCGCAAAGTTATGAAATCCGCCGATTTTTACTGAAAACTAAAGACTTTGTCTCTCGTTGACACTAGCAGTCATTTTTACCATAAAAAATAAAAAATGAATGAGCCTCATTTTTAATTGACATTCTCTCCACTTGAGACATTAACCATAAGCCCGGTTGATTGATATTAAATGATCATAAGCGAGTAGAATTGGAGTTCAATCGAACCAAAAACCACACCCGGCCGCATGACAGACTGGAAATTCTCTCACTCCCCTTTGGCAATTCTAACCCGTTCGAATGCATCATCCACTCCCATTTAGGGAATTCAATCTACTCGTTTTACCCCCTTGCCATTGGATTAATTTTAACGATTTAATGAAACTGCGGTATTTCGATCACGTTTTTAAGTACCCCCTCGTTTTTTCATTTACCATTCTCTTTCAATTTTGCTCAACCGAACTTGAAATGAAAAATTTTCTTTCAGATGCAGTTAAAAGCAATACCATGTCATTAATATTTTTCTTCACTCTTTTTTGAAAGTGGAAGGGGAATTGGAAAATCGTAAAAGGCCTTTGGGTATCACTGTCTGCACGCGATTGAGATTTTTCGTTTGGACATGTGAAATGTTCAATCTGAGTGATTGCTCTCGTGGACGATAGGATGGCGAGTGGAGAGTAAGGGGGAAAAATGTTGAAGCTAACGAGTCGACAGACGGTAGCCGTGAGTGCAGGGCGTACGAGCCACTACCGATCTAATTCATGCCAATTTTCCCGGACTAAAAACTTTTGCATCGCTTAATTCAATTAGTTACGCTTCTCGATCCCGGCAATTAGCATATTTACATTTGCTCTCGTGGTGCCGCTACACAGGCAACGGCCCTCTTTCTACATGTTTTAATCTTTCTCACTCGTACGTGGTCTTGAGGACTTGATAAAACCAACGGGGTAATTTCTATTGGCCATCGTGCCTACGTGTGATTCGGTGTAACTCGTTTAGATAAGCAGGAGCTGATAATCGGACTGGTGGAGATATTTTCATATCATTTTCTTTTTTTGGCGCCTTCCTTTTTGGATACCTTCCGTGGAGGATTCACGTCTCGTTGATTATTAATTTGGGAGATTGTTTAATCGGGATTATTATGCATTGATGGAGTTCGTTTAATTAGAATTTTTCTGCAGATTTAATCTGCGGCGGTTAAGCGGGAGAGGGGGAGGCTTTATGGGGGATACGGAGAGATTAATGTCCGGAAGTTGTGGAGGTTGTACATTTTTTGGTTGAGGGAAATGATAAATGTTTGAGTTCATTTATTTCGAAGATGTGACTTTCGATCTGATTTTGCTGGATTGAAATTAATTTCAGAGCAAATGAGTGGAACGAGACCGCCTCACATATGTGCAAGGTGCGTTTCAAACAGATATCTTCGAATCTGGAGGAAATGAAGAGATGGGTCCATGTTCAAAAAACTTCCGTTAAAAAAACTTCGTCAAAATAACTTAATAATTAAAAAAATTTGATGAAAAAAAAATTAAACAATTTGAATTTCGAAAAACTTGAAAAAGCTTTTAAAAAATCCAGGAAAATAATGCTAAAAATACAAGAATAGAGCATTAATAACAAAATAGCATTAATATAACAAAATGACGAAAATCACCCGGAGCACAATATTAAATTTGCAAACATCTCCAGATTAAACAACATTGAGTCTCCATAACAAGTGATTTGACACAAATTCATAGACATGGCGAAATAAATAACAACTATTTATATCCACAACACTACAGAATCTAACAAATGATCAGTCACTTAAAGCCCGACATTCGAAGCAATCTCTATTAAATTCTTCAGAGCAGTTCCCCCTCTCCAGAAAATACTATTTCAATGAAGTAAATGAGAAATGTCGATTATTCTTTTCACAAGGACCTGAAATAAAACAGATAACAAAACTCTAGAATCCAATACATAAACATAGGTTTTATTTATATTCTTACAAGACAAAATAACCGGAAGGTTTCATTGACGAAAGTTCAATTTGACAAAAGTTGAATTAACCAAAAGTTAATTCAACTTTTGACAACAATTTTAACAACAATTTTCCTAGAAGCACCTAGAGGAATGATGCATTCCGATCGAATGAAATTCCGCATTTGATTTTTTCTTCTTTTTGACAATATTTTTGTTGGAAATTAATAAACTCATGTATTTATGTCAATGATAATGTTTTAATTATATGAAGTAAATGATTCGTTCATTGCGAATGAAGAATTTTTACTTTTTAATTATTACATGATCAATGAAATCTTTATTTGGATCTAGGAAACATTCGTTTACATGTAAAAAACTGTTAGTTAATTTAAATGAAATAAACCATGTTCCTGTGTGTAACCTTCACCTTGGATTTTTTAAAGAACGAATCTTCCAGTGAAAGTGGTTTTGTCATTTTTAATTTCTAGTTAAAAATATTGACAGAAAAATATTTTTCGTGTCACGGGACCTGAAAAACGTCAATTTCGTGGCGCGCAGTGAAAATTAATATACACACCTCACCATGGAAAACAAATCACCGTCCCCACGTGCAAGATTGCCCTCCGAGCCGAAGGCGAGCAGGCAATCTTGCAAGGTAGCTTAGTCGGTAAGAGTGCCCGGCGCGTACCTGGGAGACCCGGGTTCGACTCTTGGCTGGGTGAAGCGGAAATTTTTTCTCTCTAAATTCTAATTCTCTTAGAGTGTTTTTTTTTCATGCCGAGCAAGGCTCGGGCATGTAATGTACTATTACCCGGTCGTCAACGCTCTCCAAGTATTTAAATAGTCGCAAGTAAATCAGCTGACATGAAAAAAAGTCGAAATTAAATTTGAAATATATGCCTAAACAACACTACTGATTCTTGTGATCACGCAGGCGTCGAAGTATTGATTTCAATAGTTATGGAGGGGATACCGGGCCCGAAGCAACAAGTCGTGCAATCGAAATAAGTCTCTGGATAATATCTTGCTATTGTATGAAGTCTTTTCATTACTGCGACCACTTTTATTTCTATTTTAGTATTAAACAATTAGTCAATTATTATTCTTATTTTCGTCGAAACTGTGTATTTGGTACTCCTGTTGTCGTCAAATTCAACAAATTTTGATTGGGAATTCAGTAGCGAACGGGGTTAAGTCGATTTTGACTATCGCCCAGTTTTCAATGAATATCTCGGAATCTAAGGAAAATAGCCAAATTTTTGCCATAACTTTTTTTGTAGAGCTGATTGACAGCTGTGACGAATGTAATTACGAAAATTTCGCTATGTCTCTTAGATTCGGAAATATTCATCAAAAACTCAACTAGGAGATAAGTCGACTTAAACCGTTTTACCACTT